ACATATTATCTAAGATTTTGCTATTTCTTACGAGTATATGATATCTCTTTTGCTGATGATGGACCCTCGTAAATTCTGTTTGAAATGAGAGAGCGAATTCGTGCATGTTCTCCTCGTGGTTGGGACCATCTCAGGGATGTAATATCAAAATCTTAGATTATATGTTGAACTCGTGTATATCAGTTATGTAATAAATAAATAAATATATTTGGCACTCTATATCATGTATCTAAGAATTTAATTTCAGCGCTAATCGTTTTTCTTTTCGTACCATGATGGCGTTGATGACTTAGTCGACCAATTCTTGCATGGAAGTACCGATGACATTGACTGCATGATAACACTGGTGGAGGACAAGGTCGATTTTGTAGAGTTTTTCTTTCTTGTTTGATTTCTTCGTTTTCTAGTGACTTTGAAGTTTTTGGTTCCGATGATTATGGAACATCTCCAGTTGGTACGGCCTTGTGCGTGTGTTTCAAACAATTTAGGCTCAACTCCATTGGCTTTCAGCGTTATTTTGAATTGGTCCTTCGAAGAGGGAAACCCAGTGGCTTTTCCCTGACGTGATCTCGCTCAGTAAGAATAGACGTAGAAACCTTAAATATTCCATTCTTGCAACATCTCCTGACCAAAGGATAGATTAAAATGACTTAAACCCATTCTAATTTAGCCATATATTTAATTCCTGCATAATATTTTATCTTTATGAAGTCATTTGATGTGTATTATTTTATGAGTGCTAAATGAACTTGATGTTAATTAAAACATAAAAGATAAGGTTATGGTAACAGATTATGCACACAAATGCACACACACACACACACACACACACACACACACACACACATATATATATATATATATATATATATATATATCCAGGTGTGGGATAAGGACAAAAGGGAGTATAATGCCACTGTCGGTAGCATTTAACTTTTTAAAAAAGGGCTAAAAAAAGGGGGTTTATTGTAGCTTTATATATATATATATATATATATATATATATATATATAGGTGCGTTGGATAAATTGTCGTCTAAGTTACGCAATAATGAAAATAACACTGACATTTCATTTTAACAGATATATTTACCAATATTACCCAAATATCTTGAAATACTGAAGAGTAAATTTATTCAATAAAATCGATATTCGATTCAACTACAGCCTCAAGACAACTTCGGAATCTCCTGCAATTCTTCTGGACGGTCTCCTTGTTTAAGTTGGTGAATGTTGCCATCATTTTATCTTTGGTGTTACAAGGAGTTTTGTTGGTCTCTCACTCAACTGCGTCCCACACATAATAATCAAGAGTGTTGCAGTCTGCAGAGTTAGGTGGTCAAATATAAGAAGTGATGTGGTCGCAGAAATTGTCTGACAGCCATGACTGAGTTCTCGTGCTTGTCTTACATGTCGCAGACTTCTGTTGCCAGACATAGGGTCTTCCAGCAACTACCCTCTTGATCGAGGACAGCTCTACCTCCTCAAGGCACTTGATGTAGGAATCTGAGTTCAGTCTGTGTTAAGTCTGAGGACTCGTCCTCTAGGGGACAGAATAGTGTGTCTGTATGTGTGTCTGTGTTTTGCGTGTCAAAAGGAAGAAAAAAGTATAAGAATATGACAAGAAAATTTTAATGTATTTCATGTTGCTCGTTTCGTGAACATAGATTTTGAAGAAGACACAATGAATTATTGTCGCTTATCAAGTAGCACTTCGATATATTTTGAGGAGAGTTCTTCAGGTTTGACATGAAGATGTTTAAACTCTGATATCTGGTTTTCATCTAACTATATATAAAATTCCGTGATTTTCGTTAGTCCGTCCGTCACACTCACTAAAATATCCATAAATTGACCGATCGAAACCAAATTTTGGGTAGAAGTGCAAACAGATAACGGGGTACAAAGTACTGTTGGCTTTACTGGAGTGGGTAGTTCAGTATAATAAAGTTTCATTAAATTTTTTTGAAAAATTAAATGTCATATTATTTAAAATACAAAATACTCCCACTATTTAAAAAAAACAACAACAATTTAATGATTAAAATAACACGTACTAATTTAATAAGAATGCAATATTGTCTTTTGCATATCTTTTTTTAAAGATTTTTTTGTACAAGAATCCAGTTTCCCGTTCGCCTTGCGTTTGCGAGAGCTATAAACAAATCACAAGGCCAAACGCTTTAAAAATTTGGAACTTGGCTCCAGAAAGAAATATTTTATTTACGCATAGCCAGTTGTATGTTGCATGCTCAGGAGTAAGAAATCCCAAGAATTTATTCTTCGCTCTTAATAAGAAAAGAAAAAAAATTCTTATAAAATATTGTTTACCATGAAATAAAATTCAGTTAAATTAAAGAAATTATTAAACCGCGAAATAGCGTTTTGTCGAAGTATTTTTCCAAACAATGCAGCTTCTTCAAATATAATCGATTGGTTTGCGAAATTAAATGAAACGTAGTGTTTGTAAATCTCGACAAAAATGTTAGCAATAACTTCAACAATACTAAGTCCTGTGAAAATTTCAACACGCGTCAGTGTGTTGTAAAAGACTTTTAGTTAGAAAAACCTTTTCCCCAATTAAAGAGTATTGTAACGATCGACCAGGAAAATATGGCAAGTGCGGAAAAACAGACCAGTTAATTTCCAAATGTTTTCCTGCGTTTCATAGTCTTGCCAATGCCGGTGCAAGGATCTCATGCGCCCCCACCAAATCTACGATACGCCTCCCCCACTCTCTACTATATGTCAACTTTTATAAGGTAGTATTCATATAAAGTACATTTTTTTTATTGTAACCTAATTATGTACAATAATGGATCATATGCAATGTAGGTGAACAATTCAACTAGAAAAATTGAAAATAAATACAATGTATTTAGATACAAATAAGAGACATGTCATAATAGATCATTCCATCTTAAATAAATCAACTAGAAATGTTAACATCTTGTGATTTCTCTTGTTTAAATAGTTTAATAATTTTAACACATTCTCAACATTATGGATAAAAAAGGGACTTAGCATGAGCAAAGCAAATTCACGGATTTGGATGAAAAAAAGGACTCCAGAGTGATGTCAAAACCACCGACATTTTTTAATCCTCTAATAGTCAGACATGATTACTTTCATTTGTAACATATATATATATATATATATATATATATATATATATATATATATATAGATAATATTAGTGTAAAATATACATACATATGAAAAATATATCTAAAAAATTCCCATACATGTATATTTTCAGAAAAAAATTTTTCCAAGAGGAAGGATCCAGGTAGAACTCAATGTCTAAGACACATGGTCATAATTTATTCCATTGGAATCGTAAATACGATCCAAATCATCAGACCTACAAATTCAAAATGAAAACAGAAAAAAACAGAAAAAAACAACTCCGGAAATCAAAACAGAATTTAGAGAAAGTGTAAGTATGAGGATGAGTGACAGAGAGAATTTTTGGAGATGTGGGTGGGGTGGATTTAAATATATATATATGTATGTATGTAACTGAAAAAAAAAGCAAATGTTGATAAAATATAAAGGGTCAGAAAGTAATGCCAGAGGCCCGCAATCAATCTTAGATGACCCCGGTCGTGCGATTCATAGGTAGCACCCACTGGCTCTGTGTCTTGCTGCATGCGGCCTTACGTTGTCAGTGAGTAGAACACTTTTATGGACACGTTGCAGCTGCTGTAGTTATAAACATACATTTAATATTCCATTGCTTTTTAAGAACTTTAAATGAATTATACCCCAACAATCCCACCAAAAAGAACAATATTAATTTTCTTCCATGTAGCTCAGCTTTTAGGGGTTAAGTTGTGGAGATTTGTCGTTGTGAATCCCCTGTCTTTCGCGTTTGACATTGTTGTATGCAACCCACTTTTCATCATCTGTTATGGTATATTTAACGAATAATTAGTTAGGATAATACATTTTTTGAATCAGTTCCCCTTGAGCAAGGCGATAATGCCGCTAAGACGCAAGGGGCTACTGGGAGTGAAAGAGAATAAAAAGACTTCCGAAGGAACCGTAAACCTAATCTTAAGCAAGGGATAAATCTCTAGTCCTGTTCAAAAGACCGAGAAAAGTGTCAGCTGGCCGATTACAATGGGTTCACAAAAACGAAATGACTCAAGGTAATATCTTTGTTACAAAGCAGGCTATAGCTTAGATTACGTCTGACACAAGGCAACAAATGGTGAGCACCCACTGAGGTTTGAAATTACTTTAGTAGTAATTGTGAGAATACGCATTATTTCTTGGTAACGTATCTTTTTACGTATTGTATTAATTTCGTCTTATATAATGAAATACTTTCAGATCTGTCTCTGCTTTTAGTTTTTTTTTTATTCTTTTTTTCAATCAAATTTTCTTTTGTTTTTCCCTCTTCATCTCTTTGCCATTGTCATTATTACCTGCTCCTTTTCTTTTCCTTTTTTCCACCCCGAATAAAAAAAGAAACCTTTAAACTGGGTGGACAACCCTCATTTGCTATTGTTTGTCCACCCTCTGTCTCTGGTGTGAACCGCCTTCACATTGGTCTCTCACCGAGAGAAAGGACTTGTTGGTCGACCGTGGGACTAGCGACCCTGTTCAAGAGATGAAACTTTCGCGCGCTTTTCTAAAGCTACTACTTTGGGGAATTCATAGCGTATCGGTGACCCCACCCTTACACATCTACCGTCTCTTCAACCCTGACTCTTCCTGTTCTCTGCATTTTCCCACCTGTCACTTGATTCTTTTCAGATCCTCTACTTTTTTAAAAATCTTTGTCAATTTCTTTCTTTCTTTTTCGATTATTTTCCTTTTCGTCATTCATCCTTTTCTCTTTTTTTTTTTTACCCCTTTTCGTTCTTGGGTAATTCAAGATTCGTTTTTCTGTATTAGCCTTTGTTTCATTTTCCATGTCTTTTTAATCTTTGTTACAACCTTTCTAACTTATTTTCTTCCCTGTTCGCTTTCATTAGTAATATTTCTTTCTAGTTCAAATTTTCTTCATTTCTTTTTTATTTTCTTTCTCTCCTTCTTTCTTTCTTTTTTTTCTGCTCTCCGTTCTTATTAATCTTTCTATTTCTCATTTTCTTCTTTTTTATTTCTTTCTATTTTATATTTTCTTTCTTTCTCGCTATCTTTCTTTCTTTCTTTCTTTTTTTCTTTCTTATTAATCTCTTTATTTCTATCTCTAATTTTCTTTCTTTCTCTTCTCTGTTATTATTAATCTTCTTTCTGTTTCAAATTTTACTTATTTCTTATTTTCTATCTGTCAATTTTTCCATATTCTTTCTTTCTTTCTTTCTTTCTTTCTTTTTTCTTTCTTTCTATCTCCTCGTTGTGCTTATTGATCTCTTTTTTCTTTCTTTCTTTCTTTCTTTTTTCTTTCTTTCTATCTCCTCGTTGTGCTTATTGATCTCTTTTTCTTTCTTTCTTTCTTTCTTTCTTTCTTTCTTTTTTCTTTCTTTCTATCTCCTCGTTGTGCTTATTGATCTCTTTTTTCTTTCTTTCTTTCTTTCTTTCTTTCTTTCTTTCTTTCTTTCTCCTCGCTGTGTTTATTGATTTCTTTCTTTCTTTCTTTTTCCTCGCTGTGCTTATTGATCTCTTTCTTTCTATTTTTAATTTTCTTTCTTTCTTTCTTTTTTTCTTTCTTTCTTTCTTTCTCCTCACTGTGCTTATTGATCTCTCTCTTTTTTTTCTTTCTTTCTTTCTTTCTTTCTCCTCACTGTGCTTATCGATCTCTTTCTTTCTATTTATAATTTTCTTTCTTTCTTTCTTTTTTCTTTCTTTCTTTCTTTCTCCTCACTGTGCTTATTGATCTCTCTCTTTTTTTTCTTTCTTTCTTTCTTTCTCCTCACTGTGCTTATCGATCTCTTTCTTTCTATTTATAATTTTCTTTCTTTCTTTCTTTCTCCTCGCTGTGCTTATTGATTTCTTTCTTTTTTCTTTCTTTCTTTCTTTCTTTCTTTCTTTCTTTCTTTCTTTCTTTCTTTCTTTCTTTCTTTTTTTCTTTCTTTCTCCTCGCTGTGCTTATTGATCTCTTTCTTTCTTTCTTTCTTTCTTTCTTTCTTTCTTTCTTTCTTTCTTTCTTTTCTTTCTTTCTCCTCCTTTGTGCTTATTGATCTCTTTCTTTTTTCTTTTTCTTTCTTTCTTTCTTTCTTTTTCTTTCTTTCTTTTTCTTTCTTTCTTTTCTTTCTTTCTCCTCGCTGTGCTTATTGATCTCTTTCTTTCTTTCTTTCTTTCTTTCTTTCTTTCTTATCCCTTTAAACTGACCCCCCCTACCTTGCACTCCTTTTTACACTCTTCTTTCTCTGTTCACCTTCCTGGGAATTAGGTGAACGCACAATCAGAGCCAAGAAAATAAATGATGCTTACACTTGTCGCTTCTCTTAAAAAAAAAAGCATTATTATCAACATCAGTAACAAACTCGTCTCTTTCTTCTCCTCCCCATCCTTAAAAGACAGCTTGGCGGTTGCATACTTAGAATGCAAGTGACACACTCAACTGTTGAATTTTGATTTATTTTTTAAATTTATTTTCAAATTTTTCATTGGTAGACAAACCAGGGATTTTCAATCTTGTTTATAAATTTGATTTTCGTTTCCTACCTAAGATCCATACCAAAAAAATTGTTTTTTTTTCATACTAATGTTTACCCAGTACAAGGCCCAAGAGCCATTCAAGATAGACCTTTACCGTGTGGTGGTGTATGAGCCAGTTCCACAAAGGAACATTTCGTGGGAAGAAGTTACCCGAGTGGAACTTACTATAGGAATACGAAGGCAATGGAGATGATTCAAACTTGTGTATGTGGCATAGCGGGTCACAGTTGTAAAGGTCAGGGATGGTGTGACTAAGTAATGTCATGGAAATAATGATAGGGGGAGTGACTTACAAAGTTTCGTCTGTGGGAAAAGGATTATAGGGTAGAAAATAATTCATCACCCACAAGGCCGCCTAGACGCTTTTGAACTCTGCCAAGACAGGCAAGTGAAGATCGGGCAGCTCCAGAACATATATGGCAGTAATACGCTATTTTGGGTCGGGTCTGGCTCGTGTAAATTTTAGGAAGAGTCAGATACTTACTGGAGCGGTACAATAAACCAACCATTTTCCACTGGAGAGAGCTTAAGTCCGAATAGAGGCTCAGGCCTCATCATGATAGGTGAATGTTCGAGGTCTGAACGGTGGTGATGAACGCATTTATATTTGTCTGGCACAGGGCTAAGGGGAGTAAAATAAAATTGTCTTTTGGTAATATTTAAAACGAAAAATATCAGTTTGCCTTGAAAATCGAAACCCCAGTTCTTACCTAGAATTGATCTCTAATTTCTCGCATTTTCCCTATGTTTTTTTTTTCCATTTCCTTTCTGGAGGAAGGCGGTCATGGCTCTCCACCTCCCTCTATCCCTTACAATTCTCAGCACGCTTCTTCCCTCTGCTTCCTCCTCCAGACCACGTCCTGTCATCCACCTGCTCAAGTTCGTCAAGTATATCATACACTGCTTTCCCTTGTCTCTCTTTCCTTCTATTTGACCCGTGAGTTTCAGATTCTCCAGGCCTTCCTTCCTCATTATATGTCCCAGAAACTTCAGCTGCCTCTTTCTGATGTTAAATATAAGCCTTCTCCTTGTTTGTAACCTCTCTAAGAACTCATCATTGCTCACATGCTCGGTCCATGATATCCTCAGCATCCTTCTGTAGAACCACATCTCCGTCGCCTCGAGTCTCTTCTTCACCTTTGAGGAAATCGTCCAATATTCGCTGCCGTAAAGAAGAACGGATGCCACATAACAGCTCAGTATTCTTTCTTTGTGAGCAAAGAAAATCCCCCTGTCTCGCAATACTCTGCTAAGCTTTTGGAATGCGTCCTTGGCCATCCCAATCTACGGATCTCAGTGTCGCACTTACCGTCCTCTGTCAAGACGCTTCCCAGATATTTAAACTTCTGCGTTTGCTTGATTCTAGCGTTCCCGACCTGCAAATCGCATTTCGGGCTCTTCCTCTTACTGATGACCATGCATTCTGTCTTATTGTAGTTTCTGCTTAGTCCTTTCTTCTCACTCTCCGTCGATACCTTCTGTAGGAGAATTTGTAATTTCTCTTCCGTGTCTGATGGAATACTCGTAGTTACGAAGCAGAACTAATACCTTAAGTTAGGAAGATTTTTATTGGGCTCTGCTTGTCAAAAAAGAAATGGGGACAAATTGATAGCATTGCATTTTTCTTCGAACTTTGGATATTCTGTCTGCTTGAGGACACATGGCCCAGTGGATAAAGACGTTGGTTAAATCCAGTGAGTTATGAGTTCAATACCAGTCCAAAACTTCGAGTTGAGTTAAAGGGAAATAACTGAGACATCCGGAAGAGGCATAGTACGTGGAACTAGAACAATCTACTCCGATGGATGAAATAAAGGGTTCGGTTCGAAATTTCAGTCATCTGAAAAAGGCCGTGGCGTATAACGGCCGAAAAGTTATGTATATGGCAATGAAGATGGAAATAACAGTTCGAATAATGAAAATAACGCAAAGAATCATAATAGTTAATCTCAGAGATATAGACAGACTGTCTTTTCTATAAATATTTTCCTTATACATTTTCCCTTTTTCTTTTTCTTTTTTTTCTCTCGGTTTTATAAAATAATGTGAATATGTTATCGACACTACTATGTTATGAATAAAAATGACAATAGGAAAACTGTTAATTGCTGACGCGTGGACAATGTGGACTTTATCAAAGCAAAATACGAAAATGAAATTTCCATGAATTCTGATACTTATACTCCTTTAAAGGATACAGGAATAAATATTACAATGTCAGTTGAAAAGGAAGAATGAGAGAACATTTTCCAACTAATATTTAACAATTTTTACTACATCGCCAAACAAACATGCCTGTTGGAATAACATCATTGCTTTTAACCAATTCCTGACAGTTTTTTTTAATAATGTCTTCATTCAGCTGATCAAACTTTGTTTGAACCAATCGTTTTCTTTTTCGGAAGAGTTCCAAAATAGAGAACTCATTTGCCATGTTTGTATAAAATTTATGTAGATACTAGCAGTATGGCCCGGCGTTGCCCGTGCTTGATTAAAAATCGTACGACTCATACAGCAATCGCTATCACTTGACTTAAAATATTTTTGCCCTTCCTTGCCTTTAAAGGAGTACCCTTTGCCGTGCTGATGTTGCTACATGCCTTACTTCTTGCCTATCTCACACTGCGAATTTTTTCTAAGCTCTATACTAAACATTAAATCTGTTACGAAAAAGGAATTAAACAAAATTAGCACAAAACGATCAGCTTTAAAAAAAGACTCGTAACTGGAAAAACCGAATGAAAAAAGAATGTTAACAACACTACTTTTTCACACCCAACCCAGTTCTGCGGAATCAGAATCAACGTTGAGTTTAAGTAAAAGCGAATGAGCCAATTGGAGTAAAGTGCCATGCAGATTTAAATTTTTCCCACTTGTGACGAATGCAGCTATCGATTTTTTTGCATGCTAGTTAACATTCGTGTCAGTCAGCTGTTAGCTCTCACGCTGGCCAATAGAATCTTTCTGCCTATTCGTGGCAGCCAGCTATTGGCTCTCACTCTAGCCAGTAGAAAATGGCCGCAAACTACATGAAAACTAAACCGTAGAAGCATGAAAAAATCGATTATTTCCACTATCGATGGGAGTTGGGAAATACAAAGTCGGTCTTGGCCTTCCCCGCTAACTTTGTGCATGTAAATGTTGGTGCAAATCCGTCGAAAATTGCGGCCGTGCATTCGTTACCACACACACACACACACACACACACACACACACACACACACACATATCCTGCCTTTTATAGATAAAGATTTTGTTGTTCACATCCACTGAGGAACAAGTTTTTTTTTTTTTCAAAATCAAATCTTCAGCCAGGACTTTCATTTGCTGTAATTTAATGGTATCTGTTTTTTTTTATCTTTATTAAAACAGTTACGTAATTTGTCGATGATAACATTCATTTTTTTATCTTAAATGTTACGATTAATGAACGAAAATATTTCCTTTTTGATACTTTAAAATATGCTAGCTGGTTTGTTTGTTTGTTTGTTTAGCGGCATATCAACATCTTATGAGTCATTTGATGCCGAAATTTAATTTTCTTGGGGGCATTAATAATTTCTTTCTATATATTGTTGGTAATATTGTATTTTTTTTGTGTGGAGAAAAATCTATTGCTGGTAAATTTTTCTTAATATAAAAATACTTTGCGAGTATTTTTATTATAAAAATCTATTTTTGTACCCTCATAGTGTTTTGGCCCCAGCTTGGAGGCCCACTATTTACGCGCTGGTATTCTGTTTATCATAAAAAACGAAACGAACAATGGGCTCCTTGAATGAAGTTTGTGAAACGCAAGTGTCACTAATCGCATCTAACAAGTACAGAAATCTTTTCCATTGACCGAATATTTTTTATTACTGGACCAACTTCATTAACAGTTCTTTCATTTTTGTTACTTATTATAAAAAAAAAGACTTCAGCTGATCTCTATCAGCTTCGGCTTTTCTTCAGATATT